GATGTGATGATGTCCATCATATGATGGACGAAAGCTCAGCATGTTTTCATCCGAAACGAGGGAGGAAGTCTCGTCAACAAGAATATCGTCTAAAAACCAAACGGCTGCAGTACAACGAGTTTCATCCGTCTTCATCTGGTGAGATCGACCAAAGAATCTCCTCTTCATACACTTTCATTCGAAATAAAGGTCCCCCTAGCATAATTAAAAGGATTCAAGTTAAGTCTCTATAATACTCACCAGGCCTTAAGAGGCAGTCTCGATAAAATAGGAAAAAGACAATTACCAGTTGTTTAAGTTTCCAGATGTAAAGTAAACTCTATCAATTCCTTGAGATAAGTGTATCCTTTTGTCTATACCCATTATATAGTTTTGGGTGATGAGCTCCTTGCACTCGTGACAGCCTGTCGCCATTTTTAGCCGGTGCGAATCGGTCGACGCCTACTACCTCCCGATAGCCTATCTTTAAAGTGGAGTTTTTCTCTGTTTAAGCGACGACGCGAAAAGAGGTCAGTGAAAGGTAACAATAGTAAATGAAGTGTCCGGTTCTTGTTAGGCTTTTAGGCACTGCTGACTCTAAGGATGCTGCTTCATCTCCATCTTCTGTATTAAATCCCTCTCATTGGGTAAGCGAATTCGAAGTCCGTCGAGCATCTTTCTTACATTGCAATCTGTGGTTGTTTTGGTCATAGCTCGCACTATCGAGGGAATCAGAAGAAATCTGCTCGTCCAAATTTAAGATTTTTCTGGCAACCCAAAAGGTGAAAGTGGAAATGCTCTGCAAGAACATTAGCTTGTGAGTGATATGCACAACTATGATTTCTTTTTATCTCCATTTATTTGGGTCAGAAGGTCGGATTAGAATTGCCCACTTATGATGTTTGTTGCTTCCAAATCTCGAAACATAGGTTAGAAAGATTCTTGTTCACAGTCTCTGCATGGATGTCCTAACTGAATATGGCTTCTGGCTGTAGTGTGAAATAACTCCGAATTTGGATTAAGGACCGAATACCTTCAAGGACGCAGTAAGTTGAAAATGTTCACCGAGGGATAGCTGAGGGTTTGACAAATTATCTATCTGTCTATCCATTTATCTATCCATCTGTTTAACTCTTCAGCTTCCTCTCTCTCTTTATATATATATATATATATTCGTGTGGATATAGTAAATGGAAGAGGAGGGAGGGGATATAGATGATTGTGGGGATGAGTGCTTAACTAATTTTAACTTTTATATTTTGCAAAAACATTGGTAAGCTCGACATCTTTCCCCTCTAAAATAAACTAACGCGACTCTTGTTTAAGGGGATAAAATACTCCAAAACATATCATCCGCATTACTACTTACTAATTCGCGACTTTTCGACTTCTCTTACTATTAAAATTTATTCAGGCCGCTAAAAGTCTAAAATCTATCTTTCTGATTTGGACCCTAGAAGAAGTGACAGTAAAAAATTTTTTTAACTCTATTCTCTGTAGCAGAACTCACCTGCACGTCAACCTAAGGATCATAAAAGGTTAAATTCATTCCAATGTTTGCAAAGCTCAAGCGATTAGGAATATTATTCTGTGTTTAGTCAAAAATTTGCCGAATTAAAATTTTCTCACAATATATGATGGAAAAAATCGCCCCAAGTGCAAGGACTCTTGAGGCGCAAAATACGTGGATTTTCAAATAATGTGATTGTGTCCAGCATAAAAGACTACCTAAAGCAATTGGAAGAATTATGAAGAATATGCTTTCGCAAATTATGGCCGATTGTGCTTCATGAAAAACCAATTACACCACTCTTACTCACCAAGCTGGTAGAGCCCAGTCACTTTGGCACAGTCACGCCATCAACGATATGGACGATATTCTGCCGTCGTTGCCTATCCGAATAGCACACTAGGTTTCACGCCGATTTGCCTAATCCCATAATACTGAATGCCGTCAGGGGCAGTTTCATAATCCCTATTGCATGGACAAGACATGCTAATCTGCAGGTCACCTTTTGGCAGAATTTGTCGAGCCACAAGGTCAGAGAATGGTTCAAACGTCTCGAGGAGAGGATCTTAATCAGCAACTATAGCATAGTCGCATTCACGGCGCGTTAAGCCTGATGCAGGCGAAGATGAAAATCGGCGGACTTTAAATTGGCTGCACAAGGCGTGATTCCAACTCATTCATGCCCTCGCAAAGACGACCAAAGAAAAACGCTCAAAAGCACACCAACGCACATGCATGCACACCCACAAGCCAGTGTGGATATCTTGACTAAATCTCCTATCCTCGATGTCTTAGCAGACAACTTCGCCAATCATCTGGCCCGGTTGTCTGGCTCTTTAGCTCACGAAGCGAGGCGTCGCATTGGTCATTATCGTACTGAGACGGTTCTGAAGGGTGGCAAAAAGGCCGACCCAGAGGCTGACACTGGAGCTGACGCAGGGGCCGAGGCGTAGGTGCGGATTTCGGGCTACGTCATGATGTGTTTTAAATCACACAGTTAAACTGCCAAAGCGCGCGCGATGTAGGACCTATCTGGGCCTACATCTGGGCCCAGACCGGGACGATTCAGGCGTACTGCACACGTGCACGTAGGAAAGTGCTGCAAAGGCGTAACTCTCTTATTGATCCACTCAAATGCGCGCACAAGAATCCTCATTTTGAATGTGAATCGACGGTGTAGTGCGGACTGACCTGGCTGCTTAGTCTGCTTCCCTTTATCTTTTTGCACCGGCCACAAGTCAGTTGGTACGATTATTTTGACCAGTCTGCTGCATTTTTGCGGATTCTCAGAGGCATAATTGTTGGCCGCCGAACTGGAAATGTTAATGGAATCGGGTTGGGCTTAGCAAGCACGATGAATAGGTCTGCTTGGTGTGCAGGACACAGGAGAACGAGACCAAGGAAAGCGGTTTGTTGCATGAAAACTGGGCAGATAACAAGTAACGTACTACCCGATTTATGCTGTTTCCGTTGCCCTGCTATCTGTATCACATTTCGGCTTCATTTTGATGACACAGGTGCTGTCATGTCTAACTAACTCTTCATTCACTTTGCAGGCTCCGGAAACAATCTTTTCACAAATCTTCTCCTCTGAACACAACTCCGCCAGGTAATCATCAATAACCGGATTGTTATTGATGAGTATCAATTTCGAATGATCCTATTTAAATTTGAGCCAATCGGTCCATGATGAGTTCCAGCAGCACTTTACTTGGCTGGATCTCAGTTTAGATCATGCATTTGCCGTTCAACTCGCACCTTTACTATTCGCTTCCAGTTGGGCCTGCCGATATGGTAATGAGACGAGGTTGCAACCACAGTCCAGGCTGGAAGTAGCCTGGCGAGTTGCAATTTTATGCAAGAGGTCAGGCATTATCTTCCAGCATCCAGAATGACAAGATTCACAATCAGCCCAAAAGTAAATTCGTATTAGAATAGGATTTTGAGACTATCAATAGCTTCCGAAGAAAAGCTTTAGTCACTCTCGGTGACTTAAAGTGGTGAAGCACCGATAATGAATTTTTCCACAACGATATGCTTAACTCGCAAGACGTTAGTGAATTTCACTTAGCCTCGCCTCCAAAAAGGTATTCCCATCCAGGCTGGACTGGATTCGAACATGAGCAGGACAGCGTATAATTTGGACATGTTACCACTACGCCACACTCCCACGAGTTCCATTCGGTCGCGAAGCAGATGGGAATTTCAGAATAGGCTAGATCTCGCCTATATCACATTTTTATGATAGGTCCTTTATTGAGGCAAACATTTCCTTCATGAGTTGTGTCACTCTATTTCGTTCAATGTATTTAAGGACTGTTAGTTCAATTTTCCCACAATGATATGAGTAGAGCTATTAAAGTTGTTTGACCTTGTTTTCGCAACTTGGTAATATTGGTAAGAAGACTTAGAGGAACGCACCTAGTCCCGAGTCCATTATATGTATCATCATTTCCAGAGTAGGACCGTGGACGTGGTACGTCCCTCTAAGTCTTCCTACTAATATGACCGAGTTGCGAAAACAAGGTCAAACAACTTCTATACAACGAAAGGAGAATGCGACAACACAAAATGCTACACCATATTGGTCTTCATACCTTCGAGTATAGCTATTGTTTTCCATTGAATTTCTCATAGCCTTAATTTCCCAAAAGTTGTTCTCATTCAGGTTGGACTGCAGTTTCGAACTCGCATAGGTCTTATCAACACCTCAGGCGGGAATCGAACCATGGCAGTGCAGCGTGTAAGCTCGATACGTTAACCACTACTCGACATTGCCACGAATTTCCTTGGGTCACAGGGCAGATGTGAATTTCAAGGAATGTCAGGCATTTTTCATATCACATCCTCTGTTGGCAAACTTATATTTGTTATAGCAATCAACGACTACTCTTTGGGTGAGTGAGTAGGTTTTCGAGACTACCAGTACATCGGATACATGAGTTGTGTTCACTCTATTTCATTTTAGAGGATGAAGGACTGGTGGTTGAATTTGCTCGCAATGATACGAGTAGAGCTGATATTTTCCATTTATGAGACCTATGCGAGGTCGAGACTGCAATCCACCCTGAGTGAGAACACCTTTTAGGAAAGCAAGGCTATGTGAAATTCGATGGAAAACACCAGCTCTATTCATATGATTGTGGGAAAATTCAACTACCAGTCCTTCATCACCTTAAATGAAATAGGATGGATACAACTCATAAATCTGATTTATTGGTAGTGTCGGAAACTTTCTCGCTCACGAAAAAAAACATTTATTTTGACTCATAGACGACAAAGTTACTTGTATTTGAATTAGGTAGATTTTCGGGACTATCGGAAGACCTATAATAAATGCTTTAGCACCTACCTTGGGATCGACGGAAACTTATGACGTTTGGGGGTAGTGGTGATATATCGAAATTATTTGCTGCACTTCCTGAGCTAGATATCCGCTGAGAGCGCCAGTGCCACGTGGATGAGGTCAGTACTGTATTCTAACTTGTATAAGATACTTTTTGGAATCAAGCTTCAGGGGAATTATATTGCATCCAGAGCCCTACTCGTCTCATAAAAAAGTCCCCTATCGATCCTTTATCACCTAAGGTGACTAAAGCTCTTGCTTAAAAATAAACTTGCGAATACCAGCATGCTTCAACCGCATTCAGCCCACTGATCTCTTAGAGCTAAGATTTCATGGAATCTGCCAATAAGTCAGTACAGATTTTATAGCACTGTAGGACAGCAAGTCGAGAAAGGATGCACACAAAATGGTTGCCCAATGCTGCATCTCGTAGGCGGCCTACAATAGCATATATAAACACTAGCTGGTTTGGGTAGTAATATGAACTGACTGAATGCACGACTGATACTGGTCAAAAGATAGGATGATCTAAAACAGCGTTATGCAGATTACTAGGTCCTCACATCCAACTTTAAGATTATGGAATCTATAAAAATAAACAAAAAATCCAATATCCTTAATATGAAGAACGTGTATAGGAAATTCAGTGGGAAATTTTTGTGGCTTAAAGATGGGGTCGGGAAAAACTCCCTAGCAAAATAAGACGGCTTGAATAGTCTTTAGTCTGGCTATTACTATTGCAACTCTCATGACTTTAGCATTGCATACAAGCAATAACACACCCAAACATGCTTCAATATTGCAGGATTAAACAATGGTTCATTTATGTAAGGAAAAAATTATGACAATTTACACAACTACATCATCGCTTTGTATCTACTTTACCCAGTTGCAAGCACTTAAAATAAAAATGAATCAATGAAGAAAATGATTTAGTATGAGTCGGCTTTTTATTTTGAAGGATAGGTTGGCTGGGAGAGATCCATCAATTGGCCCCATCAGAAACAGAAGTAGGTTGAGGCGTGTGAATAAGCCCTATGCTTACCTTTTTTCAACTTCGACGCATTTTTGCTGAGCTTGGGAGTTGAGCTTGGGACTCCTTCAAACCAATCCTCCGGTTTCCGGTGAGGCAATTTCACAAATCATTTCTAAACAACTTTTCTTTCAAAATGAAAAGTCGATTCATATTAAATCCATCATATTTTTCAACTTAGTTTGGTTTTACGTTATAGTCCAGCCACAGGATCGCTCACAATATTACACTTGTGTTGATGCTTGGTAGATCTGGAAAGCGTGGGCTTCCATCTGTTACAAAGTTGTACGAGTTACATTTAAATGGGAATCCTAGGTCACCTGAGATGAGTTGAGGACTGATACTGGATTTTAACCGCAATGCCACATGCAGGCCTTAAGATGTCATTGAGCTTCTCATACAGGCTTGGTCGCAGTTTCAAACTTTCCTAACTATCAGCGGCATCTCTAACCGAATTAAAAACCGGTTATTGAGCAGCATAGGGACATATTGTCACTCAGCTACGTAACTGCCATCTCCAATTGGTCACAGGACGATTGTTACTTGCAAGGAAAGCCAGGTCTCTTACATGTAGGGTAGGGTTGAAAATGAGACAAACAAGGAAATCGTGCTTTATTTTAGGTTGGAGTATGCTCCAATATCCAATATCCGTTGAGAACCTGATGTCCCACATGAATAAGTAAACAGCTTCAGAGATAAGACCAAGTGAAATTCAAACATACCGAGAAGTCTAGTCAAGCTATTTTAGGATAATAAGCTTAAAGTAACCCAAAAGTGAGTTGACTTTGTTTTGGTCGTGTTGTCATAGTGATTTGGTTAAAAGTACTTTGTCCGAAGTCCTCTGCTATAGCAGTTAGGATAATACTAGCCTTAACCCATGGACCTGGCACATTTCAAGACGTCTCGCCGACATCGTAGTCGGCCTCTTCAGTTAGTCCTGTAATTATAAGCACCAAACTACAATATGTCAAATATACGAATAAGGTCTATCCATTGACCAACTTTCGGCCAGACGGAAGGGGTGATAACACAACCGTTGGACAGAAATTAAGTCAAGAGATGGACTTCACTTGCCCATTTGACGAGTTATAGCTTGGTGCTAGGACTGACATGACCCACTAGCGATGCCGTTAAAATTTCTGGGAAGGTATAAAGTTGCTAAAACAAGGTCAAATCAATTTTATCTAGTGAAAGGAGACAGCGACTAAACCAGAGGCCACAACAACTTGGTCTTCGTACCTACTCTGACTCAGCTCATATTTAAGAATTACTACTATCGATGGCAAGCCATGCTGTGGCAAGGATAGCGACACGCGATATATTACAGCTTACTAATATCGTTCAATATCAAAATTTGTGACGCTAAAAATATTGTTGTTTCACGTAGATATTAAATTTTATTTTT